GTAGAGCGACCAACTGGCATCTCTCCCCAGTAAGAGACCATGAACCGCGGACTGATTTTGGCCGTGTGTCCTCCGTGTCACCTCTTGACACATAGGCCTGACTTGTTTCTTTGAGATGGAGTTTTACGTGTCGCGCAGTGGCGCTATCTCAGCTCACCACAACTTCCACCTCCCGGGTTCAAGTGATTCTCCCGCCTCAGCCTCCCAAGTAGCTGGGATTACAGACGCCTTCCAACATCCCCTCTCCCTCCGGTTATTTTTTGTATATTTAGTAGAGATGGGGTTTCACTGTGTTAGCCACGCTGGTCTTGAACTCGTGACCTCAGGTGATCCGCCGGCCTCGGCCTCCCACCGTGCTGGGATACAGGCGGGCCTGCTATGAATGCACTGAAATGGAAGTCTCCACCCCAAAGGCATGGTGGGCTGCACGTAGCGGGCACGTGTGTTCATGAATATTCACAGCCCCTCCGCTCAGCTTACATCCGCCCCGCTTCCCTCTCGGAAGTGCCTGCTTCCAGTTCCTGCTGGAGGCTACACTTCCCGGCCTGCGCCGGCCAGGCTGCGGGCTGAACCCTGTGTGGGAATGAAGCTCTCCTCTCAAAGGTAGGAGCGCTGTGATCCTCCAGCCGGCATGCAATGCGGAGGAACAGGGTCGGAGGACTCACATGGTCGTCACCCCTGTGACGATAAGGCCTGCGGAGCCATCTCAAGGCACGTGTCTCCCAGGCGCAGCACCCAGGCCCCTGGCCCCACAGGCCTCTGGTCCAGGTGACACCAAGGGGCTCCCTCTTTGCCAGGACATCCCCTGGCCCTGAGGTGAGGGCCTCCTTTCCAGGCTGAGGGCACAGGGTGACACTGGAGGGGCCCACAACCCCCTCCCCATCTGGCTGCCTCTGGGCAGCCACCAAGGTGTGGAGCAGAGTGGCTGAGTGCTGGACACTCAGCCAGTCCCGCATCAGGTCGGGCCCTGGCCCAAAGCTCTGAGCCAGGGCAAGGCTGACCAAGAGGGGTCCCCAGGCCTTCCAAGGGTACTTTCCTCCACCCCCAGTGACTGGGGAGGACACGGAAGACCATGAGGTGGCCCCAGGTGACCCTCATGTGGGAGGGAGGCCTGTCCCTACCCACCCTGGGATGGGCCCCCCTGACTGCCAGGCAGCAAGGAGGTGGCCAGGGCGGAGGCCCCAGGGAGCTTTTGTACCGATTCTGGGGAGAGGAGGTGCAGGTTGGACCCTCCCTGATTCCACTGCTCCTCCACAAACAGCCCCTCCCTGTGGGTCACTCTGTGCCCTGCCACGGAAAGAAGATAAGGGTCAGCTTCCTTCCCAGGGCTTCCCACGTCCCACCCCAAAGCGTCGTGGCTGTGGCTTTGGTTTAGTTTCTCCAGGGCCGCGGTTTCCAGAAAGACCTCTTCTGCCCTAGCATTCCTGGCTTGGGTGGAGTCCACGCAGCTGCTCCCTGCTCCCTGCGGTGATGCAGCCCCTCCTGGGGTCCCCCCAGGTTCTCTGAGGGGATCTCTGGAGGTGGGGCAGCTGGCTCCAGCACAGGGGGAGTCCCTGCCCAGCTAAGCGCAGGTGTCCTGGACGGGGCACTGTTCAGATGACGGGTGCGGCTCCCATGGGGCCCTCAGAGGCCGACTCAGGGCTGGCCAGGGTCCTCTGCAGGGCAGGCTCCGGGGGCTGGCACAGGACCTGGCCATGCGGGGAGGCTGGGCCCTGACCCAGGACCACAGGGGGAGGCCTGACAGCGCCGTCTGATGGTAACTGGCCTCAGGCCGGCCAGCACTGGACCCTGCTACCCTCCAGGACCTGGGCGCTGCCCCAGGCAGACACCAGGGACCCAGGAAGCTCAGTCCTTCCCTAGAGCCCGTGGGAGGGGCTGTGGGGCTCCACGCAGGGCTCTGGGCAGGGCTTCTGGGGTCTGAGGGCGGCTACAGCTGCTCACTCCCAGAGCTGTGGGCTGGGCTCTGGGCTGGGCAGCTCTGTGTGGGGCCTCCAGAGTGTGGTGTGGGCCAGGCTGGCCCTTGGCCCAGGCTGAGGGGTTCTGGGCAGGCAGTGATGGCGGAGTGTGGCCTGCGCCTCCCCCACGCCGAGCGCACCCCTGGCTTTCTGCCTCTAGTCCCGGCCCCACGCCCAGGGCCAGCAGAGCAGCTCAGGGAGGGCGGGCAGCATCCCAGGGGCTGGGAACCAGGCTGTACTCCCAAAAGCATGACCCGTGCACCCCAACACCCCCTGTCTTTTGCCCTCCCAGTGCTGAGGAGGGGCACAGCCCCAGATGGAGGGGCCCTGCCAGAGGCTGAGGTGCCCAGCGAGCCAGGGCAGCCACCCTGAAGGGCCTGCCCCTTTACCGGAAATAAAGTCTTCCTTCCAAATTTACAGATGTGTGGTTTATTCAGTGGACATAGCTGAGCCGGGGCAGTTTAGGTATTTACCAAAAGCCAGAACGATTTGTGTCTGTAAAAACAATAGACCGAAATGCTAAGCGCACCTTCATTCACAGCAGTCAAGAACGGAAATCCACCCAAATGTTCATCATCAGAAAAATGGCCAGACGGTGGCTCTTCAAGACACGGGTTCAAGTCAGCAATGAAAAGGAACAAAAGTCTGAAACGTTCAAGGGACACGAACCCTCAGGGACAGAACCCTCCCCGAAAACAGGCAGCTCCAACCTGCAGAGTCATGCCGGCTCCAGAGAGAGCGGGAAGCTGGGATCACAGGACCCAGAAGAGTGGACATTCCTGCTGAGGAAGGGCGGGGAGGGACTGGGGACACTCACGCTGCCGACACCCGCACAGCGCGCGCGCGCCCACACTTCAGACGTGCGTGTTTCATGCTGTTGCGTCTTCTGGTCACAAGTGTGTTTTACTTCTCTAGAATAAAGAAGTAAGAGCTGGGAATTATGTTAAACGTTCCTTCTCAGGATTGCTGTGTGTGGGGTAGGGTGGGCCACGCGGACCCTCCCTGCGGGAGCTCTGTGGGGGAGACACTGTGGGCCCAGTGTCCGTGACACGGGGAGGAGGATTTCAGGTCTCTGGTGGTGTTGGATCAGAATCTGAGGAACCCGTCTGACCTCAAGAGGGAAAGCCTGGCTTTTCCCTATGCAGGTTCCAGGGGGCTCCTCTGCTTCTCTGAGAGGGCAGGGCACTTGCACAGGAAGCTGGGGTTCTCGGCCCCCCTGAGGAGTGGCCAGTGGGAGGGGAGGGGGCAGGCGGGAGCCTTCCTGTGGGACTCGCAGACCTGGGGCCTCCCCTCCTCCTTGGAGGGGACCAGACGCCTTCCCCACCTGGAGGAAGCTCTGGACCCCAGAACTGGAAAGGGCAGAGCTGAAGCAGAGTCGCCCCTTGTTCTGAAGCTGCTGCCTCTGCTGCTCCCTCGGGCAGGCCCCGTTCCTCCTGCTGCCTCCGCTGCACCCTCGGGCAGGCCCCGTTCCTCCTGCTGCCTCCGCTGCACCCTCGGGCAGGCCCCGTTCCTCCTGGTCTCAGTCTCCCCAGCTGTGCAAGGAGGACACCAGGCGGGGCCCTCCTGGGTTTGCAGAAATCAAAGGAAATCTAAGTCTCAGAGAGAGGGGAGCTGTGGGCCGGGCTGCAGGAAGGCTGTCAGGGGCTGGAGTGGGTCCCGGGGGAGAAGGAGAGGGCTGCTGGGGAACACCCCGCAGGTCCCACGTGCTGTACCCCGTTTGGCCGTGGCTGGTGTCCCAGTGCCTGGGTGCAGACCCAGTGGACAAGAGACATGCTGCCGGGTGACAGGCTGCCCGTCTCAGGGCCCCCAGGGCTCACGCCCCATCCCCCCGGGTCCGGAGCTCTGGAATCTCCCAGCCCCGGCTCTCTCCTCCCTCGGACCCCCAGGCGCAGGGCCTTCTCCACGCAGCTGTGGGCAGCTGACCCTCTGAGGAAGTTCAAGAGAACAGTGATGGCACTGTCGGTTTTCATCTCTGGGAAGCACTTGCTTTTTTTTTTTTTGAGATGAAATATCACTGCTGCCCAGGCAGGAGTGCAGTGGTGCGATCTTGGCTCACTGCAACATCTACCTCCTGGGTTCAAGCGATTGTCCTGCCTCAGCCTTCCAAGCAGCTGGGACTACAGGCATGCACCACCAATTTTTGCATTTTTAGTAGAGATGGGTTTCACTATGTCGGCCTCCCAAAGTGCTGGGATTACAGGTGTGGGAAGGACTTTCAGGGCAGGGAGATGGGGGTGGCCCCAAGTTCCCTGAGGGCCAGTGGAGGGCAGCATGGGGCAGGGGCTGCTGCCGGCTCTGACCAGATGGGGACACAGCAGGTGCAGGAGGGTCTCACGCAGACGCGACCCCAGGCCAAGTCAAGAAGCTTGGGGGTCCTTGCTGAGGTGGGCACAGCGGAGGTGCAGGGAGCCAGGAATGGGGGTCCTTCCCATAGGCAGGGGACACAGCCCAGGTGCAGGGAGCTAGGGGTTCTACTCAAGAGAAGACACCAGCAGGTGCAGACAGGAGGGAGTTTCCCCGAGGCAGGTCATGGAGCAGGTGCAGGGGCAGGAGGGCCCCTCCCAGGTGGAGACACGGTGCAGGTTCAGTGGGGGCCTCACCCCAGTGGGCACAATGCTGGGGCAATAGAGGGGCCTTAGCTGAGCTGGGAACGCGGCATCCGTGCAGGAGGTGGAAGTGGGGGCCTTGTCCAGGCAGGGACCTGGAGAGGGGACCTTGGCACAGAGGGGCCGCAGCCCAGGTGCAGGGAGCAGGTATTGGGGTCCTGGAGCCAGGAGACCAGGTGGGAGTTGGGGAGCTGAGCTCGAGGCTCTGCAGAGCTGGGGCTGTCTCCAGGGTGCAGGGCTGGCCCAGTGGGGCCAGTGGGGCTAGGTGTGTCACATGCCAGGGGGATGCCAGGCTGTGGGGTGGGGCCCCTGTGGCCATCCTGGCTGTGCACCTGGTGGCAGCCAGTGGGGCGGGAGCGGGGGCCGCAGGTGTGGTGTTCCCAGAGGTGCAGGTGCCCTCTCCCACACTCCTCCGTCCCAGACGTGGGAAGCAGCCAGCCCCCGCCCGGTCCCCTCAGGTGTCCTGCAGGCACAGCTCCTCGTGGGGCCTGGGCCGATGGCAGGTCTTAACGTGTCCCTCTCCTTCTTCTTTGCCACCTTCGCCCTCTGCGAGGCGGCCAGGCGGGCCTCCAAGGCCCTGCTCCCCGTGGGCGCCTATGAAGTCTTCGCCCGGGAGGCAGTGGGCGCGGCCCAGCTCGGGGCCTGCTGCCTGGAGATGAGGACACTGGTGGTGCTTGGGCCCTGGGCTGGGGGCTTCGGGCCTGACCTGCTGCTCACCCTGCTCTTCCTGCTTTTCCTGGCGCACGGGGCCACCCTGGACGGGGCCTCGGCCAACCCCACCGTGTCCCTGCAGGAGTTCCTCATGGCCGAGGCGTCTCTGCCTGGCACGCTGCTGAAGCTGGCAGCCCAGGGGCTGGGCGTGCAGGCTGCCTGCACCCTGACGCGCCTCTGCTGGGCCTGGGAGCTCAGCGACCTGCACCTGCTGCAGAGCCTCATGGCCCAGAGCTGCAGCTCGACCCTGCGCACGTCCGTGCCCCACGGGGCGCTCGTGGAGGCTGCCTGCGCCTTCTGCTTCCATCTGACCCTCCTGCACCTGCGGCACCGGTCTCCGGCCCACAGGGTGCCCGCCGTGGCTCTGCTGGTCACCATCACGGCCTATGCAGGTGAGCAGTGCTTTCCCTTCCCCTGGGCCCTCAGGGCTCCTCCACCTGTGTGGCCTCCATGCACACCCAGGAGTGGGGGCTGCTGGCCCAGGTGGCCCACAAGCCCACAAGAAGGGACAGCGATTTCCTGCGACCTGGCGGGTGGACGAGGGGCTGTGCTGGACACGGGTGCTGTGGAGGAGCCTGTCGCCTGCCAGGGCCACCCTGCCTGCTGTGCCTCCCCCACTCCCAGCTGTTCCAGGACCTCTCAGAAGTTCTGCCCCCGGGGTAGTTGGGACAGCTGAGGCAGAGGCTTCCGGGCCCAGCCCTGGTCTGGTGTGGGGGTCCCTGCACCCTCTCTCACCTCTTCCGAGTGACAGGTCCTGTCCCACCTGCCCCACTTGGCCTCTGTGGCCCCCTCCTGACACCCAATCCTGAGATCCTGCTGCATCTGGGCCCCCAGTGGGACCAGGCTCTCAGGGTCCTCTCAGCCCCCGTGTGAGCTCCTCCTCTCAGACCCTCTGTCTGATCTAGCCCCATGCCTGCCTTCCCCTCCCTCCACTCCCAGGAAAGCCTTTGCTTGGGAAGCTCCCAGGACAGGTGTCCACAGGGCTGGGGCCACAGGGACAGCAGGGGAGAATCCGCTGGGTCCTTCCGGGGTCCAAGGTCCTCATTGGGACAGGACCAGTACTTGTGACCATGGCACTGCCCACGACCCAGCCCTGGGGAGACACCGCAGAACCTAGACCACAAACGCCACGGAGAGGTGCCACCAGAGCCTGTACAGATGGGGAAACTGAGCAGGGAGCTCCGCAAGGCCACAGCTCTGTGGCAGGTTGCCCGAGCCTCTATCCTGGGCGGTGTTGCAGAGCTGCGCCAAGGCTCCTGCCTCCTCGAGCCCAGGCACCTGGCCTCAGGGACAGAGCTGCCCAAATCCTGGTGTGCACCTGGGCGGCTGCAGGCTCTATGTCCCTGAGGCCCCTGCCCCAGCCTCGGGCTCGCTCCGTGCTCTTCCCTACCCAGAGGCAGGTCCTGGCATTGGCGGGTCCTGTGATTTTTGGCGGTCACCCGGGCCTGGGGCTGCAAGACAGTGTCCAACTGCAGCCGCTTTCCTGCATCTCACAGCACACAGCCCTGCCTTCCCTGTCCCCACCGCCGCCCTCCGGGGGGAGATCTCTCTCCATCTCCCGGTCTCTGACTCTCTCTCTCTCTCTCTCTCCGTCTCCCCATCTCTGACTCTCTCTCTCTCTCTCTCT